CACACACACACACACACACACAAACACACACATCAACAGTATTTTCTACATTTGTTTTTCCACAGCAAAATATGTGACATGACAAACCTCATTGAAATGGCATACTGTTGTTTTTTAACTGTCTGAAGCAAATGGTGTGTGACTTATGACGTGTTTTTTTTAAGCATTCAAATTTCTAAATTAGTCCATTTTTATGGTTCCTAAACCCGTCCTCCAACCCTGAAATGACTCTCCCGGAGTTGATGTAAATGACGTCAATGTTGATGCTCCCGACGAATTCTTTCGTCTTAACTCTGCTGCCCTCTGCTGTGAGTATTTGGTAGTGACGGCCGTTGCAAACTACCTTTCCCGGCAGGCAGCGGGATGGTCGCGCCCCTAACGGGAACTTGGGAGGCGCGGCGCTGTGACGCCACCGCTGGCTGGCCCCGAAGCACTCGAATTGAGAAAACGCAGTCAACCAAAAGGTCTCTTTCGCTCTCTCCCTCTGCCGAAAACTTTCGAGTTGTCGCAGATTGTGTGATCATGGCAGGTAAAACTCTCTTCTTAACCGCTTTCGACTCGAGAAATTTACCGTGTGGAGTCGAAAGGCGTCGAGACTCTGGCTTGATGAAATCCAGATGTTCAGCAGAGTTTTGGGGCGATTGCAACACCGTCGGCAGCTCGCAACTGTTCCTTTGCCTTGTTCTAGAAGAAGCTGTTGCGTCGGAGTCCGGCACCGAAAACCCGCTGGTGACCGTCACGTTCCAGCGCGATGCCAACAGGAAGCAGAAGTACCTGGAGGCCGAGCCCAAAGCTCTCGGGGTCCGACCGGGCTCGTGCAAAAACAACCAAATCACACTCGCTTTGTTTGATTTTGAAAGTCACCGTTTCTATCTTGATCACAGATCACCCAGATTCTCCTGAGCGTGCATCTGATTTCGTGTGTGAGTATATTTCCAGCCAAGCACCGTTACGGTGAGAATATCATCCCTTTCATCGTGGCATCCGTTCTGGTAAGCAAAAACACTTGCAGGGCATCCAAAAATCCCGCCCTTTTTTTCACTTTTTGTTTTCAGATTTTTGTCCTTTTTTT